TCATGGGGATGCAGGAAGGGAGGCATGGGAATGCCCATGTGTGTGCACGATCTAAGGTGTGCGGGCCCAGGAAGAAGAGAGAGCCAGGAGCATGTTGAGTGACCAGCCGGAGCAGGCCAAACAGTCCTCTCTTAGAAAGCCAGCCCCTCCATGCCCCTTGCCCCGACTCTGGCATCCATCCATTGTGCTCCCACAGTGAGACTTTCAGCTTCTACCTACAAAGCCAGGTTTTCTTCCAGCCCTCCCTGGTGTCCTATGTCCTCAGCCCTGGACACTTGCAAGGCAAGGCCAGAGTTCAGCAGGGAGCCTGGAAACTCTCAGCTGTGTCCTTGGAACAGTCTTCCGGTACCACAAAGGCACGGTGGAGAAGCCCCTACAGCCTCTGGGATCTGACAGACCTGGGTCCAAGTCCCGCCTCCGCCCCCCAAGCTGTACAACCTGGTCACTGAACCACCCACCCTGCAGTTTCATCCCCATTTAAAACTGGGGATAAGGGCCGGCCCGGTGGCGCACTCGATAGAGTGCGGCGCTTGGGAGCGCGGCGGCGCTCCCGCCGAGAGTTCGGATCCCATATAGAGACCGGTCCGCTCACTGGTTGAGCGCGGTGCGGGCGCAACACCGAGGGTTGCGATCCCGTTGCTGGTCGTGGTACGGGCATGACACCGAGGGTTGCGATCCCGTTACCAGTCACAAAAAAGACAAAAAAAAGGAAAAAATAAACAAAAAAACTGGGGATAAAAGTGCTGTTGAGAGGACTCCGCAAGATAACGAATGTGGAAGTGTAGCACAAGTGAACCTGCTGGGTATTTACCATCACCAATTCTCAGACTCTCTGGACATCACCCACAGGCGGCCTACCCTTGTCACTTTGCAGGGGAGGAAAGGCAAAAGGGCTGACTTGAGGGACCATTAGAAACCTGGTCTCCCGACTCCCTCGAAGCTGCCCTTCCACTGAAAGCCGAAGATGTTCTCCCAGGGCTCCTCACAACTAGTTCAGCATCACAGACCAGGAAGACACTGGGGAGGGAGGCAGGCTGGGCCATGGCAGAAGACTGGCTGGCTCTGCAGCCAGTTTGGTGGCTCGCTGCCCCTCTAAGCATACCACAGGCCAAGTTTAGAAACTGATGGGTCCTGGACAGGCCGACAAGCAGGGCGTCCTGCCAGCCCGGCAGGTGCCTCCCAGGCTGGGCTGAGGCCCGCACGCCCCCTGGTGGTATCCTGTGGCCTTGCATGCCACAGCTTCTGGCTCAAACGTGGGCTCCAGCAAAATGGCTTGGAAGGAAAACCAAAGAGCAAGAGAGGAAAGGGAAACGCTAGAACAGCCAGGTCTGGAGGGCAAAGGAGCAGGGGAGGGCAGCAGCTCAAGAGATGACATCGAGATAGGTGATGCTTTGTGGACATGAACCAAAGAGGCCTTTCAATAGAGCATGATTCTGAAGGCTGCAGAAGAAATCAAGGCCCACACAAGCAGCCACATCTGCACTTCTCAAACCCACCAGAGCCACAAGACTACATGTAATTCATCAAAGTTTATTATGGCAATTAATTATACAAACATACAGGTGATCGTTCATCCGGTGCACAAGCACTGGAACCAGTAGAGTCCATTAGTGATTTCTCTTTATAAATAACTTACGAGAAGCAAGCACAATTGGTAAGGAACCAGCAGCACTAATCTAGCATCACGCACACCTAGTGATGGCACACGGGCTGGGGAGGGGGCAGCACCACAAGGTCAAGTTTCCTCCTTGGCCCCCAGCACCCCCAGGCCTACCAGATGCTGGGTACTCGGGTAGTGGACATTTCAAGGCACATACAACTTCCTAACCGATAGCAGCTCCAGGGTCTGCCCTGAGACCTGGTTCACAACTGGAACAACCAAGTTAATGCTTCATTCCTCACACCCCCTTTGGTCTAGTGTAGTCATTTTTATTGCCAAACATGCCTAAAACCCCACAATGTGCTGGGGCTGCATGGGACACGGAGTCACAACCTCTGCCCTTTACATTCTGAAGATGAGAGAGATGCAGAGAAACTGACCCCAGTATAGTGATGGTGTTTTAGAAAGCACCATTTGGGAAGTGACTGTTAGGGCATCTTTTGATGTCTGTCTTAGGAGAGATATTGGGGGTGGGGGGAGAATTACATCAAGGTAGCCAGAGGAGAGGGAGGAAATGGGGAGTGGGCTGCTTTCGAATGAGATTCAAGGCACTAAAGGAGTGGACGGAAGGCTGGACCTCAGAAAAAGTCAACCAGAAGTGGAGGGTCCCAGAGAAGAGAGTGGCTAGGGGGGTGACCGGACCATCCACTCCTAAAAGAGCCCCATTGTGGCCATAGTCTCTTGGGCTACAGCTGCTCCCTTCCCTCCAGCCAGAGGACCCAGATTCTCCAACCAGTGTAAAGCAAGGTCTGGGATTGACCTTCACACTCCCTAGCCTTGTCACTGTGCTGGTGCTGCTGTCGTTTAAACTAGCACACAGGACAAGCTTGTCTGAGATCAGCTTATTTGAATTAAATTATGGCTTTATAGACTTAAAAATCATCATTTTTCCTACCTCTGTTCTCTCCCTCCAATCCAACCCTAGCCATGGTACATGGGGCAGACCATCCTCAAATGGACTAAACAGACACAAA